AAGCAAATATAAGAAATACATAATTATATACCTGTTGCACTTTCTTTAATTACGGAAGCAAGAGAGATAGCATCCACATTTTGTTCCTTTAAAGTATCCAATAAAGATCCCATTTCTCTCAAGTTATGACTGCCTGTTTCAGCAGGATCTAACTGCACTATAGGACTAGTTTCCCACCATTCCTTTGGTTTGGGTGCAGAGCATTTCGGTGCCATTGCCACAATAGCTATAGCACCAGCCAACATGGCAAGCCAAATCAACCAAAACGTGATGAACAAAAACCATCTCAATTTAACCCAGAATGGGTCATTAGCAAATTTCATCAGCTCTTCCTTGCCCATTCCCGAAAGGGCCTGTTTGACTGTTTCAATATCGATCTTGGCATCTCCATTCTCAGAAATAAATTTTATCTATATGTAAAAAAACAGTATCATATACATTCTACTTGAATGTTTGATGAATCACGAGTCATTTCTTCGGAATTTATTTTGGAATTTATCCTCTTATCGCAGGATGATGTAATAAGAAGATGCTATTACTTTTGAGTGTGTTCATTGTGACATAATAATAAACTCAACAGATTTAGATACAAGACAAGATACAAGACTAAAGAATTGGTATTTAGATCAATTGCTTACTATTGAAAAGAACAATTGATTCTCGGAACAAAGTAGATATACTGACTACAAAACAAAAGAAAAATTATGATTCAAAGTTACAGAACAAAAGAATATATGTTGAAACGAACGAGATTAGCAATATTGATAGTTATACAACGACAAAAATATTGTCAATTATGGACGACAAAGAAGCGAGGCTATCGATCGCGTGAGGTTCAAGGCGTGTCTTTAAAAAAACGTGCTATAATAACGTACCATATCTGTCGCTTCTTTCGTGGGAGAGACTTTGCTCTCCTCTTTGAGCATTTTTTCATGGACCCCATCGTCGACTTCATTCTCGTTATTCGGTTTCCCCATCACGTTATTCTCTGTACTAGGTTGCCTGTTCACGTCGTCGTCTGGGAGCGTCTTGTACGTGGCAACAACTGCGGTTTCTTTCGCGATACCGTTCGCCTCCACACTCTCTAAATCCAGCCTCCCACTCTCCATTGCAACCAGTGCGGATCTCAAGGACGTATTCGAACGATATCACTGATTACGCGAGATTTGCCACACACGTGAGAAATCCTTTCTCTCTTGGCGAAGCTTCCTCGATACCTTACCTGCCCTGAACTGCTTGGAACAGCTTGGAACTGCTCCCTTGGGGCTTCAGTTTCTAGAATGATGGGATGAATGTGGATGAATGCATTTTACCCCCTCTGACCAGTTCCCTCGGTCCCCTATTTGTCGGTTTGTCCTGGCCTATTTACTTTTACCAATACAAATGCGCAGTACGAGTACATACAATCAGGGACGACCCTTTTTAACACGTTCGTCGCCACGTCACCCAGGAATGGGTGACAGGACTTTCTATTAAGGAACTAAAAAAATAAATTTCAAAGGTCAGATAATAATGAAAATAAGTCTGGACAGGTTTCGTGTATTTGCCGACGTTAAAAAATTAAATGCTACGAGAGATGTTCAATTATCTAATCTACAATAGTCTCGAGACAAAATTTTAAGTGTATAGAAATTTTTACGAGTTTTAGCTTAGCAGCTAACGTGTTAAAAGTTCCGTTTGTTCGTTCAACCGATTATCTATCCAATAATTCATTTTCTTTAACACGTTTCCCTCTACGACGATATATGAATAATAAATCTTTCCAAAATCTATCACCTAGAAATTGAAGAAGTTAATTCGGGAAGCTGAGGTGTCAAAGAAAATAAATTTGGATAAGATCCGAGGCTTGCATTCGTCCTTTAAAACATTCTAATGAATTCACGGTCAGGTTACAGCATATTCAAATCGAGGGATACTTTTGATATGCATTGAGAGCTGAAGCATGGCATTTGGAATGCATAGATCGATAGTGGAAATGATCTTGCACAGGGTTCCATTCTGTTGTAGCCCAGAACTGACGTAAATGCTTCGATTTCAAATCGATAGATTCGAACAACGCCATAGGCAATGAAACAGTATTAATGCTACGATTCTTGTGTGTATTGTTAGATTTACAGCTGTGTTTATTGTTTGAAGTACAGTGATAAAACCTGGATGTATATGTAGATATTGTAAAGAGGTCTGATTTTTAGTTGGTAAATAATTCGAAAGTGAAGGATGGAACTTTTCTGAGGTAGTCTTCGCTTTTGAGATAATCGATATCGATAATGCGTGGGACACATTCGTGGTTATCTAAAACTATGTATAATGAATCCCAATTACAAATGTTTATATTTTGTAACTGGATCGCAGATTTTATGCATTTATATATATTTATGCATATATTTATGATTTTATGCATATATATATAAATACATTCTGAATATGTTTAACATATGTTTCTTTATAATATCTATATAAATATAATCAAAAGCCTGTCCCATGGATAAGAATCTTGGAAATATTTTGTAATGAAAAGAATCCTTTAAATAATCAAGTACTATCGAATTCTAACAATATTAGCTTGAGCATAATTAAATATTAATAAAAATTAAACATTACCTCACGACGTGACCAAAGAACACTGACCTGGAAACGATTACGATCTTTGCATATAAACCCATAAGACATACGTGGCATCCAAATTTGCATATTCGGCAAAAAAGTGCAAGCCGCGTATATTTAAAATCGTTTATCTCAAAAAGGAAGACTCGATACAACAAATTTATTTTACATTTACACAAAATTAATCAAAATTAATATATATATATAATTATGTCTTTATTTAATTCCTTATACATATTCGCGTTCAAGGGAAACTTCGCCAACCTAATCAGGCATTCCTGCGCTTATCTTGCATCTTGTTGATAGCACAGAAAATATACTATCATTATGGACACATGTACTTTTTATTTGCTGACTTGTTTGGTAACACTCGATTAGAAGTAGAAAATACATATTTCGCAGTGTTCAACGTCCGATATATTTACTGAAACATTATAATGTTATAAGCATGTGCTTGCAATACGAAATTGTTAATTAAAAATTGCAGAAAATATTTGTCGACATCTCGAATACTCACTGTACTCGTCACGTTCAAAATAATTTCTTCGTCGGACTTAGGGCACGTCTGCCACAAGTTACAACAATAAGATAAAATTGTTATAATAAATACTACTATCAATATGACCCATAAAGACCAAAATATGCACAGACGAACGTTCATCCAACTTGGGTCAACGGCAGAATACCTCAAGTCGTCATTTATCGATTCTGGAGAAAAGTTTTCGTATACGTCACTGGTCTACTTAATTCGAGTATCGAAACGCGTCGATAGAGTGTTCGTCTAAGGAACCTCGAAACTTTTGGCGGGATAAGTCATAAGAGTAAAAGTAGAGTAAAAATAGAAAATAAGCTACAGTATGATATTACAAGACAAAAAAAAAATAAGAAATATGGTACAGCTTAAATTTGTTCTTTATTTATTTAATTAAAAGTCTTAATCGATAATTGTTCGTTAATCCATAGAGTCTAAATCGATATCCTTGCCAACTTGGGACTTCCGGAAGACGCCGTGGTGGACCAATGGGCAAGTGGCCGCACGAGCGAAACGTACGTAACAATTGTTCAAATTTGAATTTGAGACTTTCCATTTATCGTGAAAGGTAATTGCAACGCGTACTTATCGTAATTGTGTTGTACAATGATGACATATCGAACCTGCATCCTTTTGTTTCTTTCTGGATCCGTAGACAAATTTACTGTAGAGTAGGTGAGTGGTTTCTTTCGATTCCATTGTTTTACATGCTCCTTTTCTTTTCGCTCGTACTCTTCGCTATCGAAGTGGTAGACTAACGGTTTTCTCAATTCATCGTGCTTTCCATTTCTCGTTCGTTTGCTTCCCGATACGACAGAGTTTGTTTACAAAAGAGTGACGCGATTTAAGTTTGACCGTCAATGATCGGTGTCAGAAAACGGGACACGGTTGCGAACGTGTATGCACGAGATAAATATAGACACTAATAGATATCAATTGAATGGCGAAATTGCTTTTGCCGCCCCTATTGTTATTTTTCCGTCACTCTTATCGCGCGGGGAGATACGTTAGAAGTGATTCAATGCGTGTATTTACGTCTCTTCAAATTCGTTGTCAAGTCGAGGACGGTCAGTGCACAACGGATAATTCTCATGTACAACGTTTTTCCTATACAGCGTAAACCACGGCGATTGAATTTTTGTAAAATATATAACATATGGGAGACACTTAATCTAAGATAAGTTAAGGTCATAGTGCGGTCTGTTTTTCTAAACAAAAATGTCACTTGTTTTTGTTCAACAGAATAATATTTTCTACTTTATCTCCTACGAAAGACTACTATTTAAATGCAATGACAGTAATTCAAGGCCATAAAACACATACAATGCCTACATTCCAATGAATGATTTTGAATGTAAATTATTTGCTTTATAAACTGCCATTAGAAAATAAAGAAAATAATCTACTATTCCATTGAACCAAAAAATTAATAACTGAAATATATAAATCATTCCACTTTGAACAAAAAAGAAATATCACCACACAATGTTCCCGATGAAGTCAAACAACTTCCCACTCCTTGCTTTTCAAAATATCTGCTTCAAGTGCCCCATTCTGTACACTTACCTACTTAGCAAGATCACTGTGTAGTATTTATATTATATATGGTTATATAAGTAATTCAATATTTTATATCTCCTGTCCTGTTACTTGTGACTACCTTACTAATCTTAACAGTAAATTTTTATGACTACCTCTTATTATTATTCATTTTAATGTACATATGACTAGCTTTCCATATGTTAACAGCTGGAGTTAAATGACGTCAATGTGACAATTTATTCTACGCATAATTTTGTAAACATTTGAATAGTCAAAGTAGTATGTGGATTACTGTCTTTAGATAAAAATAGATTCATTATTACTCCAAATTATTTTTATTTAAAACACAATAGGCATTCTGATTCATACATAATTAACTATTAATTGTACAAAGTCTTATTTACAAACATGTTCAGGATTTGAAGAATAGTATCACAGTAATAGTTGTTGTTAGTATCAACTGGAATATCATTGTGGAACCAGGAGCTGAGTTGGATGCTGATTTTTTTGTAGTTGTAGAGATGGAGGGAGTTGTTGTTTCTCTTATTTCTTGAGCTCTTATTACAAATGCAGCATTAGCAGTCAGTATGAAACTTCCACCCGACACAGGTTTCCTAGACAATACAGCTTAGTTTTAGTTAGAAGTTCTATCATTTTAAAAGATTTCTTGTTTACATTCAAAGTATTTGAATCAAAGACATATACTTACGTAGCTTGAACAGCATTACTAGAAGCTATAATGATTTCCACAGAATCTCCCAACTTTGGATACAATAAAGTCAAATTAATTTTCTCCAGTTTCAGACCCAGATTAATAATAACGATATATGTAGGATAGTCTTCAAAAGATCTGATAAAAAATGAGATTAAATAATTATTCAGTATATGCACTAAATATCTGATCTGATGAATATACAAACCTTTTTAATATAAATACACGATTATTATTTAAGGTTGCCAACTCGTAATCGCCATGTGTGAAAACCTTACTTTTCCTAAGAGCAGCAAGCAATTTGTATGTGTTTAAGTTACTCCGTTTCTGACATAGCACTTCAACATTTCTGTCTACATAGTCTGGATGAAGAGGGAGATATGTGGTTTTATTGGTTGAAAATCCTGCAGACACGTTAGAATTCCACTGCATTGGTGTCCTTGCAGGGTCTCTAGAATACATTTCATATGTTTCATTTGTCTTTGAGCAACCCATAGGGTCAATTGTTTCGTTCCATAACATTTTTCTATCCAACATCGCGATCTCTTCTCCATAATAAGTATATGCTTGACCAGGTAATAAAAGGCTTAGCATATGAAGACCATCAACGCGATTGAATCCAATTCTTGAAGCTGCTCTTGAGTTATCGTGATTTGAAAGCTGAAATTAGTAAAATGCTTCAATTCTATACACATAATAGGTAGCAATAGCAATGGTTGAGCTTCTTACCACCCAATTTGTTCTAGCATTAATAGGAAGTATTTTAAACCAATCTTCCACAACGTTTTTAATATGTTCAGCAGTACTGGTGTTTTGAATGCTAGTGATAAAACGGAAATTGAAAGGTGGAATTCCTTTGTGTGTTTCATTACCATAAAGAGCTACTAGTGTTTCATTTGAGTCATAAGATTCCGCGATTAATAATCTGTAAAGTAAGGATTACATTCTTCTATCACTAGCATTGCAAAATAAGCTCTAATAAAATTACGAATATTTTTATACATACTTTGAGGTTGAAGTTTTTTCTTTTACCCAATTGTCAATATATGAACGAAATGTGTATAAAAGGTTTGTATTTTCAGGCAAACCAGATGTATAAGTTCCCCTTTTTGTAACAGGTTCATCTCTTAAGTTTTCATCTTCAAATAAATATGATGCAGCAGTAATTCGAAAACCATCCACACCTTTTTCTAACCAAAATTTGAAAACTTCCTACAATATAAAAATAGAGCTTGAAGTATACATTACTTTTCTATTAAAGTAGAACATGCAACATGTTATATCGCGAATACTGTACCAGTAGTTCTTGCACCACATTTTTATTTCTTAAATTGAGATCAGGTTGGGATTTGTGAAATTTATGGTAATACCATTCTTTCCTTGTATCGTGCCATGTCCATGCAGATCCCTCTTCACTGCTATAAGTGCTTGCCTGAATACAAAAAGATTTACACCACACTGTCCATAAAATATAATTTGAGAATTACTACCTACCCAATTATTAGGAGGTCTCTTATTCCCTTCTCCGTCCAATGATCCCTTTGCCCAAATGTAGTAATCATTATATCTACCAGCTTTATTAGAGGACTGCAAAAACCACGTGTGTTTATCACTTGAATGATTAGGCACTATGTCCAAAATGACTTTCAGATCTGAAACAATTTATCCTGTTTCACATAATAATTTATTTAAGTTAAATCTGAGAGTTTCGATTATTGGAACTTACCACGGTCATGTGCTTGTTTCAGGAGTTCATCGAAATGCTCCAAACTACCAAAAAGGGGATGTATGTCGGTGTGATTGGAAATATCATATCCAGAGTCTACCAGGGGTGACGGGTAGATGGGATTCAACCAAATTGCGTCGATTCCAAGATCTTTGAGATAATTGAGGCGACTGATAATACCTGTGCATCAAGATATTTCTGTTTTATGAAGAAGAAGATATAAACTGTTTTGCAAGTATTAATGTTATTAATATATACATGTTGCAGGGAGTCTAAACAAACACCATAGCTATTGTCAATTAAAGCCACAGACGAGGTACAGAACCTCTGTATCTCGTCTGTCATAGAACTCCATGCAGAACAACGCAATGTGTTGTCAAAGCACGCGATAGTAGTTTCCGATTTTCGTAGTCGTCCACGTTTAATCAACATAATTACACTTATAATAAAACTTTCATTGAAATTAATATGATCGTAACACAATAACCTAATACACACACAAAATTAGACCCGTCGTACGACAATGTATCCATAGACAGATACTTTGTTATCGCTGGAAATACTGAAAGCGTCCGAAGTTATCTGACATAACTTCGGTTGGTACCTTAACCATCGAGCGATAAACGAGAGCAGCTTTACAGCACGTCAAACGAGACCTCTCCACGTATCACTCGCTTACGATATATTCGATTACCATAAGCGATAGTTTCAAAAATAGACTTCCACGATCAGCAATGTCCGTTCAACTTCTCTCTTATTTAAATACAGCGTGATAGCTTTCCTTAAATTTCAAAACACGATCGTAAAATCCTAATTTTCCCTATAAGATAGTTTCGAACACTGGACATCCTGAATACTTAGCTCACGAATGCCCTTTTCCAATTTACAACGTACCCTGTAAGTCACCCTCGCCGTCCCCGTCGCTGTCCTGAAATCCTCTAGGCCAGATTTGATAAACCAACGCGGTTTCCCACCATTCCTTGTCGTTGACTTCTTCGCCCTTTGCTCCCGCGAGCAATAGTCCTAGAATCAGTAACAGACGACCGCGAAGCAAAGTCATATCGACGATTTCTTTTAAACTTGACCAACACCCACGATTTAATCCTGTTATATATTTTTGTAGAAACCGGGTTATCGCTTTATCACCGCTATCGTCGCGGCACCTGTGACTTTATCATGCCTATTTTTTGTCCCCGAAACGCTGAAACCACGCCATTGTTTACGTTGATCGAGAACAGGAAGGTTTCATTAATATCTCCTTAATCGCGATAGAGTGACGGTAGCCTTTAGAAAAGGAAGGGCAGGGATGATTGATTCGATTTATATGTTACAGATGAACTGTCCAATAACCTATCTACAGGATGTTTTAAAATTCCTCTTACAGGGGGATTCCTGGTTTACCTCCTCAAAAGGCTTTTCATTGTAGCACGAAGCACGAGGAAACTCCTTGTAACTTCTTATTTAACTCGTTGAGTCATAGTAGCAAGCACGTTTGTCACCTTCTGCCCCTAGCTTTTAATTATTTTAACGAATTCGTTAACATCGAACACTATTTTAAGTTGATTTCGTAGAGTTCCTAGTAAAAGTCTTCGGAGTACCGATTTTCGAAAGAATCGATCAGAAAAACTCGCGACTCAAAGGGTTAATCTCCCTAAAGTAACTTGCATCGAATACCTTTTAACGGAATCTTTACGTAGCGAGCTATTCTAGAACTCGGCGCATCACTAACGATAAAAGAACCAACCTACGAAACCTTGTATGTATCCTGTTACTTCAGCTCCAACTTTTAAGTTCAACAGCGATTTATGTAAACAAAAAAGAGAAAGACATTAGACATTACATTGGGGCAAAGTACCGTGGAAATTCACATTACTGTCACCGACACAAGCACAAGAGGAGTGCAAGTAGATAGCTACGAGGAAGACGAATTAATCTTTCTCAGGTTCAGCTACAAAGATACTCCATGGGTGCAAAGTAACATCATTAGGATGCATGATTAATTTAGTAGAAAGCTGATGGATTATTATTCGCTTTAGAATAGAATTGCCTCGTCTGCGATACGTTACTTACCTCAGCGACGATTTGCGACAGCGTTCGCGATTCTGGATCCTTGGAGAAGCCTTTTTGCTCGCTTGGTGAGGCGTAGGTGGCCAGTTGCGTTGGACTAAACACGCTCCCACGTGATTTGGCGAATAATTGAACGTCGCGTAGGGTGGCACTCCGATAGAAGGATCCTCTATGTCCATTGAGAGACAGAGCTCTTGACATTCGTAGTGGACAGGGCCATATAGCCGCGTTATCGTTCGTCTCTCGTGAAGAAAAGAGAAAAATATCGATTTGTTTGGGGTTGGACGTGTAAAACGAGATCGTCAGATAGAAATAATAATTTTTTGAAGTAGTTACTTACAGAAGATAGGAAAACAATATTAACTTCCACGAAAAGAAGTTGGACACGTTTATTTGTTGAAAAGTTTAGGTAGATTGGTCATCGATTTTGTTTTTAAACAACATTACTTTATTCTCTTCGAGAATATTTAGCACCGTTTCGTAAACGTTGAATATTCACAATATAAAATAAAATGAAACCGTTATAAATATCAAGGGAGTCGCGTGTTCGACATAATTGGTCTAATTGAACTTCGTTAGCGACAACGATGGACGCCATTAACGAATGCATTACCGTTCCCAACATAATGAAAACCAACCAACTATTTGTCCACCCTGGGAACCTGTTAAGCAATGAAAATTAATTTGCTGTGATTTTTAGGTAGCCACACGGTATGGCGGAATTTTCAATAAAAGTGAACAATCCCGGGAAAGAAAAACGAGGAAACCTTTTGAACTAAATTGAACGGAAAGGAAAAAGGGCAGGGGACTAGATTGGATTGAAAACTTACCAATCACCACTCCAGGAGATTCGATCACCTTTGAATCAACCGGTGACATTTCCTTTGGATTAATTCAATCAGGAACTATAGCGTCGCGTTCGATTGGGAATTTTCATTCTTGGATTTGAAACACGCCGATTATTATTTATTAAAATAAAATTCGAGACTAGGTCAGCTATTGTTAGTGTACGAATAACAGTTCTCGATTTGCAAAGGGATTCGGTCGTTAATTGAGTTAAGCTTGAATCCTCACTTACGTGTCTCCTTATCTTTCTATTTCTTCGCAATAACTTATCGCCAGAAAGAATTATCGCGACACATTTTAGACGAATTCTTGGTAAAAAAAAATAGTAGCGAGAGAGAAAAGAAAAATGTGTAATGTACTTTGTAACCGCCGAGAGAGATCGAACGAGCGATATGTTGAGTCGTGTTCGTGCAACACAGGAAACTACTTAACGATAAAAGAGCGGCACTCGTTTGCGCGCCTCGTTACCTTTCTTATTATTTATCGAAGAGTATGTTTCGCGATGAAATAACAGGTGAATCGTGCCAGCTCCACGTCAACTCTAGCGACAGAAACGAGCGTGTCGCTAAATAGTCATGATTATACCCTCTAGGGACTTGTTCGATGCCTGTACAAGTGTAGTGGGACTTGAATTGGGTTGTTTGAATTAGCCTTTGATGGAGACATATCTGATTGTCTAGGTTTGCAAGTTCTACTATGTTAATCAAGTGAATTGAGTCATATTTATCTTCGTGTTCTGGATTACGATTCTATCATAGTTCAGTACTCACAAAAGTATTCAATTGATCTTGGTTGAAAACTGTTTATTACTGAAGTACTCGGTTCATTTATTTCTCCATTTTGTTAAGTTTAGCGTGATTTAGTTTAACGTACCATTCTCCAATGAAGTAAAACTATAAAAGTTTGATCACTTACTCGTGGAATGTTCCGTGTATCGTAGTTGATCCCATCGCTAGTGAACACTCTAAAACCTTCAGTACATACCGCATATATCGGGAATACAGCGAGAGTAGTCGTATCCATTGTCCCGCGGATACAATAGAGCCATTTCGAAGCCAATCAAGCCTTTCTGAAAAACAATTAGCGCTTTCGCGACTATGCAGACCCGGGGTCAGCCGATTAATTTCATTTGTCCTACCCGTTGCGACGAGTTGATTTTTTTTACTAAAACGTTTAGTCCCATAAATCCGTTTCAATAACTAATAAACCATCGGATGAATTTCCCATATGTTTGGCTTTACCTGTTATATATTTGCTTCTCGTCATATTTTCGACACCCAACGTCTTTCTACCTATTATGGTTCCTGAAATTTTCATCGCCGTCAAAAGGTGGTATGATCGAACCATACTGTCTCCAGTCCTGTTCCATTAGGGGATCGTTTAGCGCACTATAGACGTTGTTAAAAATTCAACCACCCTTTAACGGTTCAACCTACATATACATCCGATGTCAGTCGGTTCATTACCCGTTTCGAAAGTTTCCTGCGTCGCGTGTCCCTGGTTTATACGCGAAAGTTCAGCGACTGGGCGCGACCACCGATTTCGGGAACTATTTAATTAAGCTCGCAAAGGGTTTTGCAGGGAATAAACTGGCTCGCTGGTGTAAATAACATTTAATGTCTGTATATTTTGCACTTTCGACTCAATTACAATTAATTGATTCTTAGTCGGTCGCTCGTTATGTTTTTTTTTTTTTTTTTTTATATATTCTGAATCGGATCAGCCGCTTGCCATCGAGCAGCAAAAACAACTAACGAGAATTGGAACAGCCGATACGTCGATTGGTCGAAACCATGGAGTCATACCAGAGTTCCAAATGTAACATAAATATTTCCCTTACTTTTAGTTTGTATATTTTCATCTCTATCGATTAATTTTTAATATTTTATACTAAGTCGAGAAACAATTTTTTGTGTTTTTTGTTTTCTTTTTATTTTGTTGCCTCGATGGCAAGTGGTTTCCAGCGCTTTCTCTCTCTCTTTCTCTCCCTCTAATTTTGCTCGCCTCTATTCTCAGGGGTTCTTCAACGAGATCGTACATCAACAATTAACACGCGTTTGTTCGACCTTCGTCGTTTGCGTTCGAGATACGTGTAGTCGAACACTGTTCAACATTTCCCGCTCAGTTCGATACCTGCGATCTTGACAACTCGCAAGCGACGAACGAGGAATCGACAGTATATAATAATGCCAATAATAATGAGCGTAGGCATAAACGGCTTAACGTGTTACAACAATTTCACAAGGGACCGCTTTTCGGGTCCTTTCTTGCTCTTCTGTACAATAGGAATTATGTATATATATAGAGAGAGAAGACGGAAGATAAAGCTTTATGACTCGTAGTAGAAGAACGGTGCAGAAAGATCGATACTTTCGCATAATGGGATGCCGTTTCCTTCTCGGTTCCTCGCTGTATCCGCGCTACTAGTTATGCACCTTAGGATGGTCCTTAGTTACAGACGGTAGAAATTTTTTTTCTCCATTTTTTTTTATTTTCAAAGAAACACGCCAGACATGATTCCAGTACGAAACGTAATAAAAGTTTCCAAAATTCGCGTTGTATAGCATCAAAAATCTTAGAAAATTACAAAAAAAAGTACTGGTTAAATCAAAAGGGTTTATTTCATGAAATTTTGATATGTTATTAATTGGTACGGTATCTAATCTATTAAAAAATGAACGACCCCATTGAGTTTGTTGTTAAAAATTAAAATATCAAACATAGTATGTTTCTACGGATATTCTTGATCAATTGCGGGGCATCTTCTATGTACATATCTAGAAATTAGACGAAGACCACTTTTCGGTACTTATATAATACAAATCACACGAATAATTCTGGTTATGCATTCGTTATTTGTAAAAATTTTATAAAATTCTTCATATAAATCTTAAAGAGAATTAAATTCTATGTAAAAAGTTTAAGTAAACTTTGTCTCTATTTTTCTCTAATAAAGAGAAAACTAAGTGAAACTTTACATTCGTATTCCTTCTGACGAATTCTTTTTCTAACATTTTCTAGTAATATTTAAATTGGAATCACTCTGAACAATTTTTATTTCAAATAAATAAGGACCACCCTAACGCGCAGACACGTCACACGCATACATATCCTTAAACAATATTCACACAAGTATAAAAGTGTCTTCATACAAGAGAAACAATCCTCGAGTTTTACGAACAATTTATTGCGATACAAAAATTATCACGCTAGATAACAATTATAATTA